GAGAGAGAGAGAGAGAGAGAGAGAGTTTAAACTAAACACAAGATATGCTAAAATTAATTAAAACTTTTAAATTTTAAAAGCATTTGTGGATGTGGCGATGTGTCGCTTATACTAATAGTTGCTGTATCTCTGCATCTATGTTGTAGTTGAGGGGCAAACGGTTCCTGAAATTCAATCCATTGAATCAATGCAATCCTGATTTCCATAACTTTATATCAATATTAGTGAAACATAATTTCAATTAAATAAAATATTCTACTAAATAATTAATTCTTTTTTTATGTAATTGTGAAAATAATAAATACTTCATTAAAATAAGGCAAACACAATATTTTATTTTAAAAGTGTCAAAAAACAAGGTGTATTTATAAATCAATCATGTGCCATATGGCAATATTAAATTTCTATTTAAACAAATAATTACAATTAATATATTAATTCTGTTATAAATACTAAAAAAATTATGTTAAGTATTTGTAATTTAATTAAAAATTAATTTAAACACAACTACAGTATATTATATTTAAATGCCATTAGTTTGTGGCATACAATAAGCGCGTGTAATTTCCTGTCGGTAAAAGTCTTGAATGGCCCGGCGCTGCAACTTTAGCGCCGCCGTCACGAGTCCGGTGTCGGGCAGCCATTGCTCGGCGCAGAGCACTACTCGGACCGGTATCTGACTCTTGCCAAGACCGCACTGTCGGCACCAGTCCTGTACAGTACGGGTCACGTGATCTATAATGTGGGGGTCGGCGCACAGTTCCCTTAACGACAACGACTCGTCTCTATCCCTCCCAACGCCCAGAGTGTCGGCCAAATTGATTACTCGTTTCTCATTGGCCACAATCAGAGCGATTATATAGCGATGCCGGGAGTCGGCGTACGCGCACACGTTGTCCACAAAGGGACACGACTTGAGCTCTGACTCTGTGCGACCCAAAGCCACGTACTCTCCCGACTGGAGTTTTACCAAATCCTTCTTGCGGTCAACGATACGGACGGAGCCGTCGGCACTGATCTCTCCGATATCGCCCGTACGGAACCAACGAACGCCATCCTTCATCTCAAAGGCACCGGCAGTCAGTTCCGGCTGTCTATAATAGCCTTCGCAAACACATCCGCCGCCAATCAGTATCTCTCCTCGAGGTCTGGGCTGATCGATGGCCCGGTAGTGACCGTCTGGCCAATCGACAAGTCGGATCTGTACGCCGTTCAATGGGGAACCGATGCGACCGGTGCTGAGGTCGCCGAAGTCCATCGCGGCTCCGGAGGCCACCGTCTCTGTCATGCCGTAGCCCTGGAGTAGCGAAACGCTGAGACACGTGCGGATAAAGTCGTGAGTCTCGGCGGCCAACGGCGCTCCGCCGCAGCTAATGAGTCGCACCCGACCGCCCAAAATGCCCGCAATCTTACTGAACACCAGCCGATCCAAGAGTGGCGTCTCGTAACCCTTTCCCGTCCAATAGCTCTTGTAATCGATGACAAAGTCAAAGAAAGCGCGGGCGAAGGCACCCTTTCCGGCCACCTGTTCGCACACCGCCTTCCGTATGCCGTCCAACACCAACGGCACCGAACAGATGAATGTCGGGCGCAGTAGAGGGGCGTCGCCCCGACAGCCCCTCTTCAGGCCAGTGCTTTGGTCGGTCAAAGTGAAGGGCGAACCGTAACCGATGGTCAGCCCGAAAGACGTCACCAGTAGTTCGCACATCAGCTCAAACACGTGGGCCAGCGGTAAGTACGCGAGGTAGACATCCCGGCGCGTGAATGTCTGAGCGACCGGATAGTAGGCTCGTATGCCGTGCAGTATATTTCGATGGCTGATGATCACACCTTTTGGCGCACCCGTCGACCCACTCGTGTACATCACGACAGCCGTGTCGTCCGCCAGCGGCTGTTCGCCCATCAGATGCTGATGATCGGCGCCCATAGCCAACAGACCCGTATAGGTCTCGAATCGTATGTGATTGCGGCGCTCGTCGGTAAAGAGGCGCTCCAGTGGTGGCTCACGCGCGCCCTCCATGTAGACCACACACCGTACGGCTGGTATACGATCGGCCACTCGACTCACTCGCTCCAGAAGGTAGGAGCTGGTGATGAGATGCGTGGCCTCTGTCTCGTTGATGCCGTGAACAACGGCGTCGTCGGTGAGAGTGGCGTAAAGCGCGGTGACGGTAGCGCCCACTCGCCACAGGGCCTGAGCGCAGACCATCCACTCGTAACGCGTCTCCGCGTAGATCACCACCAGATCTTTGGGTCGGACGCCGAGCGCCAGCAGTCCTTTGGCCGCCACGTCTACCATAGCGTCCACTTCGTTGTACGACAGATAGCGGTAGTCGTCGAGTAGTCGCCGGCGAAACACTTTGCCGTCCGGTTGGCGCTCGTCCTCCTCGGCCAACACCGGCCGATAGCCCACACATTCTTTGCTGCCGTATTGGCGAACGGAACGCTCGAATAGCTCGGCCACTGTCTCGCTGGTGGCCGTGAAGTGGGTGTCCGACACCCTGTGCTCCGCATCGCGAACCCACGCGCTGTACGCTGTGGTCGAGTCCAGGGGCCGGGCTTTGCGACGTCTATTGGCCCGACGGCGACGCCACGGCCTTTGGGCCAACGTATAGACGGGCAGAGTTAGCGCATCATAGCTGTAGACGAGGCCCTTAATGAGGGCCAGACGTGCCTTAACCGTAGGTTCACTCATTGTGTGCTCACTTAATAAATGATGACTACTTTTTAATAATGTTAAACTATTTACTATACATTTACAGTATATTTATTTTTGTAAAATAAATTGAATTAATTTTCCTTATGGTTTGTAGTAAACGAATAGGAAATGGGTTGACAACTATGCGTGTAATACAGTTTGTATATCCTATCACTCTATCGCTTGTATGAGCACCGGTAGCCTTGTGTATGGCGTGAGGTGTGATGTGTTGTGAAACAGTCAAAGCACGTGAAAAAGGCACTACTTTTTGTTGTTTCTTATTTAACTTAAAACTTTTTAGTCGTTTGGCATTCAATTATTTACTATTTATTGATAAATAATAATTATATTATAATCACGAGCAATTATTTATTTAATTAAATAATTTTTATAATTATTTAAAAAGTATTACAGTATCATTTAAAAATATTGACAAAACTACACGTACACACAACATCACAAAATAAAAAATCAAAGCACATAAAGTAACATTTTGAATTTTAATGATACAAATAGCATTGAGATTAATTGCCAGTCAGCGCGAGATTATGATAACATGATTGCTATGGCGCGCCACCCTATCGGCAGCCCTAGTTACCCTAGTATGTTTTCATTATCAATTTTAACTTCATTTATTAGACTAAAACTTCCCCGTTATTATTTTACAATGATCAATTCATGATAACACAACAATTATTGCGTTGAGTTATCGTCATACAAAATAACTTATGTTAGTCAATTAACAAACATCAGACAAAAAGCCAACACATTTTAGCTGTCACTATATAATCAACTTATTACAAAATTGTGTTTTAATTGCAGTAAACACTGTCGTAAAGCATAGTTATACCTGTGCTATCACGTCATGACCGTAATGATATATAAAACATAATTGCTTTGTATGAGTATGTTTAACTATTTAATTAAAATATAAATGTAATTAAAATTAATAATCTATACAAATTAATTGCCCTGATATTTATTTTTTCAAAAATATTGTTTTAAAATTATACTGTAGATGTTTTTTATGTGCACAGTCACACTAACCCTCCCCTAACAACGGCTTTATGCCAAAGGTGATTTTTTTACAAATGTAAACTTTCACCACATCTATTAATCTTATTATGAAATTTTAATATAGAACTTATAAAAAACTTTAAGGTAAAATTAATAAATGTCAGCATTTATAAATAAACAAAATTTAATCTAGATCAATATATTAAAATAATAGACGTAGTACATTCTTACGAGGGAATTATAAATCATTGCGTAATTTGCAATGAATATAATTCAGGTGTACGTGTAGTTTAGACAAAATAAAAAATATAATGTAAATCTTCTATCTCCGGCTGATAGCCATCTTTACGACAGAGTTATGGCAAGTTTTGTAATCACTCTTAAAGTGTTTATATCATATAAGTGGTGTTTCTCTTGAGCATGAGTAATTACTAATTACCAAGATCTAGTTCTATAAACATTATGCGCGTAATTACAAAACTGGCCATAACTCGATCGTAGATAACTCGACCGGAAAAACTGGGAACTTATAGACATTTAAAACTTCCCAAAGATAATGATAAAGTTGTCACAAACGAGTATTATTTAAATTTAGGCCAAACTCGGGAACTATCGGGACTTCAATGGTATGATTTCAACACCGAAACAATGCTATGATTTTGTTGCAATGAAGTGACAAAACACAAGATTAACATTTATAGCGCCGGCATATCATTTCACGACATTATGGTCGCAACAGGTATTGTAATAATACTATAAATCAATTAATACTATGAAATTCATAATTTATATTAAATTTAATATTTAATTTATTAATACTAAAGTAGTTATAAGTATAAGTATTTCTATTATTTCTACAATTTAGGTCGCATTCCTATTGGACCGGAGATTCTATTCACCGATTGTGGGATTGGCTTTGAGTTTGCCGGCTATCGAGCCAACACAGGGGAACGGGTAATGGGTATGAAATCGGGTCGTTGTTATGTCACATCTGTATACGCAGGTTCTCATGCATTCAGTCCCATACCTGACCACTGGTCTATGGATGAGGCCATCTCTATACTCAGCACATATGCAACAGACTATTATGGCCTCATCAAAAAAGGTCGACTCAGCCATGGTAATTTATATATTATTATTATTATTTATTTAAATGTATATAATATTAATATAATTTTATTTTAAAAATTATCATATTATTAGGTGAAAGTACTTTAATACACTCGGCTGCCGGAGGTGTGGGTCAGGCGGCTATCAATATGTGTAAGCATTATAACTGCAATATCTATGCGACGGTTGGGACGAAAGAGAAGAAACAGTTTTTATTACCGGAGAATAAGATATTCAACTCAAGAGATATACTCTTCAAGAATCAGATAATGGAAGCGACAGAAGGAAAGGGAGTCGACGTTGTGTTGAATGCATTGTCGGGCGAGAAACTGGACGCGACGTATGAATGTTTGGCAAATAAGTGGCGCATTGTTGAGATGGAAAGGTATGATATGGTTCAGAATAGAAAATTGGGCATGTTTGATTTTGTCCGCGACATCGACTTAATAAGCGTAGTACTAGACTTGGTCTTAGAAAACAATCCAAAATTTTTGCCCGAATTTTTTGATTGGGTTCACAAAAACATTACAAACGGTTGTGTGAAACCAATCAATACAACTGTGTTTCCGGCGGCCGAAGCGGTCAATGCCTTCCGTTATATGACAACCGGTAAACACATCGGAAAAGTAGTCATTAAAATGAGAGACGAAGAGATGGAGAGAAATGCATTGAAAATAATTAAACCGGCGATTGATATGAAACTTTCATAATCTTATCCCTTATTGAATAATGTGAACAAAATTATATCTAACAAAGTATTTACTAATTAATTAATTATCTTATTTACCAAAACGTAAATTAATGTAAAAGTGGACCGAAAGAAAGAGGAAAGCGGTAGTAAAGAAAAACGTATGATAAAAGAGTTATGGCGAGCGCTGGGCATCAATCCCGAGATCACACCCAACCACTTGACTCTCGGCGAGATTGGCATCGAATCCATGTTTGCCGTTGAGTTGCAACAGGAGTTGGAGAGGGAGTGGAATACGAAGGTATCGCTAAATCAGGTGAAGACTATAACCATTGGTATGTTGAAGGACTACGAGGCGGGTTAGTGGGTGAGATAAAAAAAGCACCTGGACGATATTAAACGGGCCAAAGCGAGCTTGTTGAAAATGAAATTTGTGATACTAGACGAGACACATATCCGGCTGAATGGCGTGCAAACGGGTGCGCCCGTGTATTTCATGCTAGCGTTTGAAGTGGCTTTCACGTGTCTTGAGAAGTTAGCACAACGTATTAACCGACCGGTGATTGGCCTGAACTGGACCCGTGAGGTGAGCCAACTGAAATCGCCCAAAGAGATCAACTGGTATTACGTAAAGCTGATGAGAGAGCTGGAGCCCAACGGCCGGTGCCAAGTGGTGGGCTATTTAGACACAGCCATCACCGCAGCTAAACTGCTGCTCAAACAAATGACCCGCAAAGCGGTGATTGTGGACATAATCAAAGACGAGCGGTTCCGCGAAGACAATCTCTCCGACGATTATCTGCTGGAATTGATGCAGACATTCGTGTCCAATGAGATACTCGAGTCGTTTAAAGCGAACATATTGTGCAGTTCAAAAAGGAGCCCACCATTGAGGTCAAAGTGAAGCTCATTGTGAATGAAAGGGTCGATTTCGCCGCTAAAGGACTGGTGGCCACCCATTTGAAGGACATTTTGCACATAATGTTAGACACAATTCGTCTGTTGTCTGTCTATCGAATGGCAAAGAAGAAGTTCTCGAACCGATTGAAAGCTGCGATCGGCAACAAGTAGTCCAAAATGATGGCACAACTCGTCGTTATTAAACCCTTTAATTCAGAGTTGGTTGAAGACGTGGACGGGTTGGTTGACAGCGCGCGAGACACGCACTTTATACCACATTCTAAGGTTAACCATTGTTTTATGTAATCTCTAAGTGCAGAGAGAGAGAGAGAGAGAGAGAGAGAGAGAGAGA